ACTTGCCAAACAGTTTTAATTTCAATTTTTCTCATTGATTCTTGTTGTAGTTTTCACTTTCCTAAGATATTTTTTAGTGTTCTTTACAATTTTGGTAATGAAATTCACAAATTTGATTGATTTTTAACTCAAACTTCAAGTTTTCTCACTGATCTCAATTTTGTTTCTACATTTTCACACTTGACCTAATTGTAGTGTTTTCTCAAAATCAATCATTTCGTACTTGTTTTTGCTCTAATTTTTTCACAAATTCATAGCTCATTAGGCTTTAACATAGTAAAAAATTGACATAATACAAGTAATTCTGGCAAGTTAAGGTTGAAATCTTAAAAGCAGTGAAGATCATATGTGCAATTCAAGTTGGAGCTTGGTTCTTCTCTCTTCTTGGCGATTTGTTGCTTCTTTCAATTTTTAATCTCTTAGATTTACTTGTTATCTTATTGTCATAACATATCAGTTCGGAGACTCAACCCCTAGACATAAAAATTAAAAAATCGTGAAAAACAAAGAGAGTCACTACGAATCTTTTTTAGGATGTGATTGATTATCCAAAAATTTTATCTTTTTAATAAAAACAATGAATTTATTAAAAAGATAATTTTGGTTTACAAAAATAGATTAGGTTCGGGAGTTAGTTATATGTGAGGAAAGATTAGTACTCCTACAACACCCATAAAATTGGTACCAATTAGTTAGGCGCTATTTGTAATTCTAGATAAAAATGGTTTTTTATATGAAATTTAATTATAATTTCCTTTGTTTGTAAGAAATAATTTATTTAGGAATATTATAAAAATCTTCAAATTAAAGAAATACCTTTAAAGTCTTTGACATAAAGATAGAATTCGAATATAGTCTTTTCATTTAAGATTTATCATAACATTCCTCCTAAAATTATAAAATAACACTCTTTGTAAAATATAATCATTGATGACTCTCGAACATCTAGGTAGAGTACCAATAATTATATTTCACAAAATGCTATTTTAATTTTATTTGTTCAAAACTAAAATTTTAAAAAAAACTTTTTATGTAGTAAAAAAAACAAAAATAATATAATTAATATTTAAACATTCGTAACTAGAGCAAACGTATATGTGTATCATAAATGAGGACATTAATTTAAAAATGAAACATATGCAAATAATGATCAAATACAAATTTAAGAATCGAGTTTTCAAATATAAAGAGTTCACATAGACTCTCTAATATCTAAGTAGAGTTTGGGTGTAAATTTTTATATTTAAAATTTTGTTCTATTATTTTTATTTATATTTAAAATTATGTTCTATTATTTTTATTATTTTGTATTTTCATAATCATGGTTTTAACAAACGAATTTATTTTGAGCTGTAGAAATGTATGAAAATTTTTAATAAAATAAAATTTTGTAAATACTTAAATATCTAGGCAACATTCATGAGTAGATTACTTTATAAAAGGTTTTCATGCAACTCCTTAGAAATTTAAAACGAGTTTGAGATTTTGGGTAGGTTTAGGTTCAAATTTTAAGAATTTATGAACCTCTTTAAAATATATATATATTCATTATAAATTAGGATACTAATTTGAAAATGAAATATATGCCAATAATGATCAAATACAAATTTAAGAATCGAGTTTTTAAACATAAAAGGATCATTTGGACTCTCTCACGTCTAGGCAGAGTTTGAATGCGAATTTTTATATTTAAAATATCGTCATATTATTTTTATTATATATATTTTTTATAATCATGGTTTTAACAAAATGAGTTTATTTTGAGTTGTGAAAATGTATAAAAATTCTTAATAAGATAAAATTTCCTAAATACCCTAACATCTAGGTGACATTCAGGAATAGATTACTTTATAAAAGGTTTTCATGCAACTTCTGAGAAATTTAAAACAAGTTTGAGATTTTATGAAATTATACACATGATAAGAACAAATTACACAGATGTCATTACTGAATGCAAGATCAAAAAACAAATTAATTACAAGCCTATGCATTTACAAAACTAAATTACAAACAAGTTTCGTATGAAAATTCAAGAAAAAAAAATGGATCAAACATGACAAACTTTTGAAATTGGTTTGAATATTCCACCATTTTGTTCTTTAAAAATCTAACCAAACAAATATAAAAATAAACCAAACAACTTATTCAACTATCACTTTTCCATTAAAAAGTTAATCCAGCACATTGAAAATTTAGTAAACATAACAAACATAAAAATCAAATACATAAGATCAAGCAATATTTGGCTACAAATAGATGAGCAAGTTTTGGCCAAGCAAGGAAATTACCATGGTTAGATACTCTATGGCGTTTCCCTAAGCAATCAACATTTCATTTCACTCAAATATCCATTAAATATCACAATTTCCATATGAAAACATCTACAATAAATGAGGATTTTCAACAAACATATAACAAACTAAGAAGAGAAGAAAACATGGAGTCAACATTTAAAAGTCAAACAATATCCTTATATCACATTTTAGCTAAAATTTATGTAAACAACATATAAACTTATCATTTAATCATCATAAATAACCTTCAAAAACTAGAAAAACATTAATGGAGGACCAAAAGAGGTTTGGCCATGGTGAGGTTGTTTGGCCAAATGTCTATAGGTCAAAATGGTGGATTGAAAATTCTTTGTTGCTTGATTTTCTTGTTTCAATCCAAACTATTAACTAGTTGGATGTAAGTTGATTTAAGCTTAGTAAAAAAATCAATGAAAAATTATCACTTTCTTAAAAAGGAAACAGAAAATTAAAAAAGTAAATGATATGGAGGATGTGATGAATGTTATGAAATGGAAAAAAAAAAGAGAAAAAAATAGGAAAAAGAATTCTACATACTTCAAGCTTTTCACAACTTTTTTTATTTTCTTTTTGATTTTTTTCTTCCTTTCTTCTTTTCATGAGCTACCCTTCCTTATTCAAAATTGTTGAAAACCTCACCCTCTTAAAGAAAATGAAGACAAAAATCTATCTAAGATTGAATTATAGCCATTAAATCAAATCTCATATAATGGTTAAAGTTCTTCCCATTTTTTTTTCAAGGAGCAACCTTTAGCCATTGGATTAAGATCCAATAAGAGATCCAATAAGAGATCTAACAACCTACATTATTCACTACAATGATTGGATTTTTATAACTCTTAAACCAAATGAAAATACCATTTTACCTATAGTACAAAATTATTAGTATTTAGGCTATTTTCTTAAAAATCAATGTTCCTATACTGATTTTTGAGATTTTAAAACTCCAAAAATCATGAAATATTATAAAATTAAAATCTAAATTTTTTTAAAAAAATCTAAGATTAGGAAGGTCAAATTACAAAATATCTTTAAGGGGTATTTTGGTAATTTCATACCTCCTGTAGTACCGTTATGATTTCAAATGCACCAAAATTTATGAAATAAAGATCTAAAAAGTTTTATGAAAATTTGAGCTCGAAAAATGGGTATTTTAGTAATTTCTTATCTTTTCAGGGTATTGTTATGATTTCAAATGCATCAAAAATCATGAAATATTATGAAATTAATATCTGAAAAATTTTATAAAAATTCAAGCTCATTAAAGATAAATTACGAAAATACCCCTAAAGGGTATTTTAGTACTTTTATAATTCTTTAAGTGCAATAAAAATTTTAGTGCTTTAAAAATCGCTAATTTTAACTTTTGAACCACATTGATTCCAATTAGGTTATGAATTTTGAGAATTAATTCAGATTCCATCCATTTTGACTAAATTTTGTACAATTTTGATTTTGTTTAGCTAATTTTAATTTTATTGATCAAGTTTGATCAGATTTGACCCGAGTTAACTTTGGGTCTCTAAATGGGATAATTTGTAGGCTCTTTATCGGTTGTAAATAGTTCTCCGTAATGGTTCTATATTAATGGTTCCAGCCCTTATTTACAAATGAGCTTAAGTCAATCATGTTAAAAATGTTCCATATAAAATTCGGTGTCTACATTTGCTTATTTTCATTTTGTTGCAATTTATTTTATGATTTTGATTGATGTTTGGATGATTTGTTCATTTATTGTTTTATTTTTTTCTATTTTGAATAGATCTTGATTTGCTAATTTGTTGAGATGTTCTTCTTTAATTTTGCTACAATTTTTTTTTGAATTTTATAGTAAACTTATTGATGAATGATATACTAGCTTAGTTCAAGTTTTTTTTTTTTTTTTTCAAAAAATTCTAGATTTTTTTTCTCTATTGACTCGGTAGTTACCAGCTAAACTCAGTTTCAGTTTTTTTTTACTTCTTTTTATTCATTTTTGCATTTTCTTTTTGTCTTATTCTTTAAATCGGTTTCTTTTATAATTCTTTCAATGTTCTTTCAATTTTCAGTGTATGTTTATACAATTTTACACAATTTAGGTTCAAATTTATAGCTTAATCATGTGGTTTCCAGATTTTGCTATATTTTTAGTTTTGATGTTCTAGCTTAAAATTTGTAATTTTTTTCATTGCTTACATTTCAAATCGATTTTTACTTTCAATCATGTTTAAACAAATTTACAAGTGCATAAATTGTTTAAGTAATAATAGTAACTTTTTGATCAAGATATCATTCCATAAAGATTAGGCAAAAAAATTTATAAGCTAAATATTTATTTTTTTCATACCCTTCTAAAGTTAGCTTATTAAATAAAGAAAAATATTGCATTAAACTAACTAAAAAGTAAAATCAAACAAAGCATGTAACACATTTATGATATGGTCTAAATTGTAAAATATAAATTAAGTAAAATAAAGTGTAAAAACAATAGATAAATAAAAATGCAATGAATTAAATATGACTTAATTATACAAGCGAAATAAAAAAAAAAAAACACATTCTAATTTTTTTTTATTTTTTAAAATATACTTTAAAAAAATATATCACTTTTTAATGTCACTTATGAAATTACAATTTTATACTAATAATATATCAGATAGTTACATTTTTTAATCGTGTTCTTGATTCGTAAAGGAAAAAAGAAATGGAAGAGAAATTTTTTTTCATAATTTCTATTTCAACTTTTTTTTATTTTTTTTCCATTACATTAAATCTAACTTTTATAGGATAAACATTCCACATTGGAACAGAAAAGAAATCTTGCTTGGAAACCATGAGCTTTGTATGCTCTCTTTGCAGCCATTCAACCACTAGGCCAGGAAGACTTGGGATTTTGATTTGATATTAAAAGCAGGAGTCACTCATGCGAGAACTTTTTTTTTTTTTTTAATTTTCAAAAACCTCACTTTTTTCTTCTTCAGTTCCTTTATTTTTTTCCTTCTTCCTTTCATCTGATTTCAAGCCCATCCGTTGCTTTTGCAGCCCCGTCGATCTCCTTCTATTTCCCAATCACTTTTTTTTTTTCCCCTTCTCGCGATCTCACGAAATCTGTGAGGTTTCGATCACTTTCTCTTTCTCTCTCCATCTTTTTTTTTTTTTAAATTAAGGACACCGCTTTTTGTGATTTTTTCTCTCTCTCTAGGGTTTCCTTGAAGGGACGACCCCAAGAATCCCATCTTATCTCAGGCAAGTCATTCCCTTGTATTTTCTTTCCTTTTAGATTCTAGATACTGTTTATAATCTCTGGAGTTTGTTGTTTCCCGAGAAACAATCATGGGCTAATAAGGAAAATAGTTCCAATAATAATAAGGGAAAACTATGTTTCATATTTGTGCGACATAAGTTCATTTTTATTGGGTCGTGATTTGATCTTCTGGGAACTAAAATAACTGGGAGCCTTTTTTTTTTTTTTCAGTTTATTTTTATTATTACATTGAGTTTTTTTTTTTCCTGTTCTTTTAATATATATATATTTTTAAATTTTGGGGTATAATAAAATGACGTTAAGAAGTTTTTCTGATAATAGGGAGATGAGAAAAGGAAATAAAGGGGTTTGTGAGATAGGTAGAGTGTTGATAGATCTAGGTTTTCAAGTTTACAAAATGCTGTGCTCTGGGTTGAATTATGAACGTTGAGAAGGGTAAGACGTAATACAACACGGTTATGTTCTAGAAGTGAAGAGAATGGGAAGCTACTGGACATGTGTTCACTTTAAGTCTCTTTTGTGGTGTATTTGTTTGCTGGCCTTGCCTATAAAACTCAATATTGGAAGGAAAGAGCAAAACGAAGTAAACCTTTATTGGTGGAAGAGCATTGTCTTGCTCAACTGAAACTTGGGGGGTTTGTTGGATTTTCGGTTTCTTTTGAGTGTACCATCGGAGAAGAGAGTTTACACAAAGATAGAAGCAAAAACGACGGTTTATTCTTCAGTATTGGATGGGTGAAAGATTATTTGCTTCAGTGGTTTCACTGAGAATATTTTAGTTCACATGCTGAGTTAAAATGTTGGAAATGCCCATTGAAGATTATTTGGATGGACTTTTTATACATAACATTTTTGCTGGCAGTTCTAAGAGGCCAAGATTGAAGTTTAATGTTATGACCTTTGATCTTGAGGTCTGAGGTGTTTGCTTGGCCCTAAACCTTTACATTTCTGAGAAGCTGTTTGATAAGTTTGTTAATTTGGTTTCTTGTGAGGAGTACTAGTGCTGCCAGAAGAGCTTGTAACTTAATTGGTAATTTTTTATTCATTCCTACATAAAGGATTTAGAAAGTTGGCGTATAGGTTCTAGAAGTTAGCATATCAGAAGTCTGAAATACATGTCCTACCTATGAAGCAATGACACAGCAGAACCCTCTGTGTATCGGTGTCATACCGGTATCCGACATGGACACATCAACGACATGGCAAAATATGTACAGGAATGGTCAAACATTGCAAAAAAGAAAAAAATCCAAATTGGACATGGTCTCGATATGGTCCATGGGAGGAACATGGCTAAGGAAAAATAAAGAAATATTCTGTTGTTTTGTGTTGATGGATGAGAATTAACTTGGCTGACCTGCCTGCTGCTGTTTTTGTTGTTGTTGAAACATCATTGTTCGTGGCTGTGACTGTGTTGTTGCTGGTACTGTTGGGTTTGAGACTGAATGACTGACATGGACGACGGTGGAGCTATGTCTCTTGCTGCTTGTTGTTGCATTGTATTTGATAGATAAAGGGAAGAGATATGGGAGATCTAACAGAGAAGTCAAAATTTTTCTTTTTCAATTTTAATTTGGGAATCAAAATTATATAAAGAGGGTTGGGCTTGGAAAAGGAGGCATTTTTTTTTTTTTTTGGTTTGATATGGTTCATATAGAGGACGACCGTGGAGGTGAAACTTGGATTGAGAATTGGATGGGGGTTTGTGGGTTTTTTTATGGGAAAATGGATGTTGGGCTTGCTGTGGGCTACAGTAGATTTGGGCTAAATTCATCTGTTAATTGTTATAAATAAAATTAAAAACAAGGTTCTTTTATACTTATAGGTAGATAAAAATTATTTTAATTTCTTATAAAAAAATTTAAAAGAAAAAGATTTTTATATAAAAAATAAAAATCATTAAAATAACATAGGATGACATTAACAACTTTTAAAAAAATCATAAAAAAGAATTTTTATATAATTATAATTATGATAGTTTTAGATTTTAAATTTTGTGAAAAATTTGATTATATGTTAATAAAAATATTTATATTTATATTTACATTGAATTTCTTACATAAAAAAATATATAAAATTTTTTTTTATTGTCATGTCCTATCATACCTGTGTCCTCTGTTTTTGCAAATTGTCATGTTACCATGTTTGTGTCATGTCATACACCTATTGTCTTCATGTCCGTGCTTCATAGTTTCCTACTTATGTCAATTTTCTGGTAGTACTGAGTGAAGAATTAGAGATAAGTGATAAGATTAAGAATTAGAGATAAGTGATAAAATTACCTTTACTAGCATTTAGTGGTGCGCAAGGAGATGAATGAGATCCAGCTTGGGTACTAGCATTCCTTTGTAAAATATGGTTATTGGTATGGATAATTGTGAAGGCTAGAAAGATAAGTGAAGCTGGAGTTATATGCTAATCTATTTGTTTTATTCGGTTTATTGTTTCCTCCATGATTGTGATATTCCAAAACTATGTTTTTCCCTCTTTTTTTTTTCTCTTTTTTAAGTTTTTCTTTAGACACCCAAAGTTCTTATTTATGATATTTTAAACTTCTACATATTAAAGCTTTTAAACTCTAATTTTATATGATAATTTAAATTTTAATTATAAAAAAAAATGGAAGTCAAAACTTTTTTCTCGTCTTTGTGTCAAGCTATACATGAGCTTTCAATTCAAGAAAGAGGTAGTGGTCTATTTTCTAAAAGGTTATGAAGCAAAATTTCATGAGATAGATCTAAGTATTTGTGTTTTAATTGATTCAAAAGCTTTGCAAATAACTTATTTGCTTCTTAATTTATTTTGTTATCTTTACTGTTAACTAGCTAGTGTGAAAAACTTTTACATACTGTCACAAACATATCCCAATATGACATATTTAGGTTATTGCTGCTGTTCTTTTTTTTTTTGGTTGGTCAAACAAAATGTTAAATGTCTTTACCTACCTACAGTTCTTTGTTTCATATCTTTTCTGACCATCCATGTTTCAGTTACCTCATTAAGTATTGATTAATCTGTTTTCTACGTGCCATCAGTTCATGTATGAGTGCTCTGTGGGATCTTCACCTATAAAGAACTGGATTTCCAGGGATTGGTGCTGACTTTCTGCATGGTGCAAATATTTTAGTTCCCTAGATTAACAAACACAGAAAAACATGTAATAAACAATGTAATGCATATGTATGTTGGACAATGGAGATGTGCATACAAATATTATGTAATTGTTGCATATTCTACATAGCTTGTTCTGCTTGTTTACAAAGTTATATTGTTTTCCTTTGAAATTTGTTTTAACTGATTACAAAGTGTCCAACTGGTGGAATTTACCTGTTCTTCCTTATCAGGTTTTGTTCAATCTGTTTGAATGACTTTGCAGCAAAATCTGAATCATGACATCAAGTATGCTATCTGGAGAACGAAGGTATTTTGTCTTTAGAAATCAGTGTACTTGGCCTTGATACTTGTGTGATTGACTTTGGTGCTTCCTTTTTAATCTTGACCATGTGTACTCTCATATTTGGCATCAGGGTGTTGGTATATTGATAGAGTCTGCTCAAAAAATAAAGCAAATTTGTTACCTTGGCTTTGCTTCATGCGCAGACTAGGAAAGAATCTTGGTCTAGCTGATTAAAAGTGTTTTTAATCTAATTGTTTGGAGTCTATTTGAGTGATCTTAAGCTGTGTTGAACCAAGGAAAGGCCCGAGGAAAGCATTATGATTATTGTTCCTTTATTAGAATGCTATCTTAAATTTTCCTCCATCTTTGTGCTTATCTTTTATCTTTCAGTGCTTTAAATTGCAAAATATAAGTTAGAGGAGAAAAGTTTTGAGAGGGTTTGTTTTAATAATTAATGCTTTCACATGAGGTTGGATGACAGTCTTTGTTTTTTTTTTTCTAGAAATGATTCTTAGAATGATCACATAATTCTGACGTGAAGATATCCCCCTTTTTTTGTAGTTTTAAGTGAATTATATTGGCTGCCCTCCCTTTTCCTAAAGAAAGGCGTACACCTTATTTGTTGGTATTAGTAACCTTTGTTACCATGCAGTTTATTCATTCCCTGCTTCAGTATAGTTCACACTAATGAATGGTTCTGAGATTATGTATTGCAATCTGAATTGCTTTTTATTTAAAGATGCTAACTTTTCTGCAGATGGGCCTCTGCAAGACGAAGTGGCATGACTGTTTTGGGAAAAGTTGCTGTTCCAAAACCTATAAACTTACCCAGTCAAAGGTACTTTTTTCCATTACACATGTTCTTTCTCTCCTTTTCTCAAGGTCAAATAATTCGATCTCCTTGGATTCTTCTCTTTAAACTCTTTTTTTTCTCTCTGTTGTTTCAAGGTTAGAAAATCATGGCCTGGATCCTAATGTGGAAATTGTTCCCAAGTGAGTTGTACCATATCTAAATATCTTGTTTTTATCTTCTTCCCCTATTGTGGTTTCTATGAAGTATTTGGAATATCTTTGTTTAGATGGCAGAAATGCTTATCGGTAGCTTGGATTGTTCTGTATCTATAGGGGAACCCTTAGTTGGGGCAGTAAATCATCTTCTTCATCAAATGCATGGGGCTCCTCAACATTGTCTCCAAATACTGATGGCTGTAGCAGTTCACCTAGTCATCTCTGTGCCCGCCCTTCATCTGGTGGAAGTGGCACACGACCTTCAACCGCAGGTAGTGACAAAGCACATGAACCTTCTAACGCCTGGGGTTCAAATTCTAGTCCATCATCAGCTTCTGGGGCATTGGCTTCAAATCAGACATCACTTGCATCTTTGCATCCTCACAGTGCGGAAACTAGACCTGGTAGCTCTCTGTTATCCCGGTTTGCTGAAGCTGTGCCTGAAAATTCAGGGGCATGGAGTGCAGCTAGGATGACAGAAAAGTTGGTATGGTCATGTAGTTAATGAGTTCAATGTTCAAAACTGATATTAACTAAAGTTCCTTGTATGGAAAATATATACTTATTGCTATTAAGTATTTGCTTCAGTTCATATTTTCAAGCATATTGTAATTATTATGTTTGCAATGATAGGTTCTAGGTTCCTTTCTAATTATTTGTTATTGGATTATGGTTTATACAGCTTGATAAAACATTGCTTTTATCATTATGCTATACCTAGAGGTGCTTGCCACATGGTGTGTAGCATTGGTTTAAATGTGTTTTATGAGTTAAGTAGGGTTGAGATGGGCAAATGGTAAGATGTTTTAATATTTTAGGGTTTTGGCTAACTTAAACCTTTTTAAATACTTCACATATCCAGTCCTAGCACTGCCAAGTTTCCCATCTATGAAGTCTTTTGTTTTTTTCTCTTGCAGTTTGCTCTGTTATATCTAAATATGGCAGTTACCATTGTACATTGCAGGGAATGCCTTCTTCCAAGGATGATGGGTTTTCTCTCACTTCTGGAGATTTTCCTACTCTTGGGTCTGAAAAAGATACCTCTGGAAAGAACTCTGAGTTGCAAGGTTTCATGTTTTATTTTTTATTTTTTATTTTGTTAGTTATTTCCTAATTGTAAATTTATCCTTGTGGTTTAAAGTTTGGTCCTCTCTCAAAATGGTACGTGAGTGGTTGTTATATATATATATATATATTTTTTTGTTGAGTTCTCAATTGAACTTTTTCTCCATGAGAAAACTTGCTGCGTCAAATTTTGAACTTGTAGGTTTAAATGTTTGTAGCTTAATCACTTGTATGGCATGAAGTTCTATATTGAAAGCTTGATTTTCTGATGACATCTTTTTATTATGAAACTGGTTGTATCTCGTATTGGATCTAACAAAGTATTAGGAATGTGTATTGAGGTGGTTGTTATAGTGGTTATTGGGGGAGTTTCTTGGATTGGCATTTGATGCCCCCTCTCCAGGCTGCTAGTGATATTAGTTGCTGTTAGATATATTTTCCACTCTGGTTTTGAACTTGTAGGTTTAAATGTTTGTAGCTTAATCACTTGTATGGCATGAAGTTCTATATTGAAAGCTTGATTTTCTGATGACATCTTTTTATTATGAAACTGGTTGTATCTCATATTGGATCTAACAAAGTATTAGGAATGTGTATTGAGGTGGTTGTTATAGTGGTTATTGGGGGAGTTTCTTGGATTGGCATTTGATGCCCCGTCACCAGGCTGCTAGTGATATTAGTTGCTGTTAGATATATTTTCCACTCTGGTTTAGTAAAGATAGGATAATTAATGGGTTTATGTCTTGAGTGGGCTATTCTAATCAGTTCCTTTACAACTTGATTAACTTTTGATTGCAGAACTTGGTTCTCAAGGTCGTCCCTGCTCATCCTCTGGAGTAGCACCAATGAAGGAGAGGACTGGGACTTCTATTGTTGGTTTGTGTGCAATTTCCTTTTCCTATCATTTTGGTTTGGCATCAACTTTTGTTATATTGGATATTGGCATTCTGATATGATTAGAATGTTTATGCATGCTTTTCTTTTTTCAGTTGACATTTCTGTAAATGCAAATCTAAAGAGTGGAAATGCAAATTCTTGGAGAAGAGATAATCCTCCATACAGTGAAGATGGTGTCCGCCCAAGCTTGGAGAAGTGGCATGCAGATCCCCAAGGACACCATCCATACCCTAATACTGGCATTCCCCTGCAGCATTATGATTCTTGGCATGGCCCACCAGTAAACAATCATCCAGGTGGTGTTTGGTATAGAGGACCTCCAACAGGTCTTCCATATGGGCCACCTGTTGCTCCTGGGGGCTTTCCTTTGGAACCATTTCCTTACTATCAACCTCAGATTCCAGGTAGTGTTCTTGCTAATCCACAGCCAGTTCCTCCTCCAGGAGTGGGACCAAGGGGACCTCATCAAAAAACTGGAGATATGTACCGAGGCCCTATGCCTGATGCTTTTATCCACCCAGGTATGTCAATTAGGCCTGCTTTTTACCCTGGTCCTATTCGGGTGGCCTATGAGGGCTACTATGGTCCTCCCATGGGCTATTGTAATTCAAATGAACGAGATATACCATTTATGGGAATGCCAAGTGGCGCTTCAGCTCACAACCGGTATCCAGGTCAAAATGTTCCAGATCCTGGTGGTTCCCATGGCAATCCTCTGGGAAAAGCATTTGCTGCAGAGCATTTGGAATCTGGCTATCCTCATGATACACGAGGACTGTACATGGTTCTTCTGAACCAGCATGATGGTGGGGAAGGAAAAGATGAAGAGCACAGGTCAGAGGAGAATCCAACAGCCACTGTAGAAAAGAGTGATAAAAAGAGAACATCGTCATGGGAAAATGACTGGAAAGCGGATCAGAGAAAGGAGGAAGAAGTCTTAAGGACAGTTGTTGAAGAAGCTTCCACTCAGATTATTGACTACCATGGAGGGGATTCTATCTTGGGCAAAGTGAAGTCATCTGAAGGTGTGGAAAATGCCAAGGCATATGGTAAAATTGCAGTGATGAAAATGGATCATCCAGAAGTGCCTGCTGCTGCAAAAGATTCCAGTCTAATTCAGAAAATAGAGGGTTTAAATGCAAAGGCTCGGGCCTCTGATGGACGATGCGAGTCCATATCTGTTTGCAGTAGGGAGGAGCAGAAACATAAATCACAAGTAGTTAGTTCCAAGGCTAAGAATTTTGCAAATGAAGGTGCAACTGGTTCTTGTGCTGTATTTCCTGATGTAGCATCTGTTTCTGGAATGACTGGACCTACCTCTAAGGAATTAGGTGTTTCTGCCGGAGTTAAGAGCCTTGATTTGCCAGCTGTTGCTGGAGCAGGCATAGACAGGTTGCTCTTTTCGTGCTGCTTTTTTCTTTTTATTTTTTTTTGATAATTTGTCTGTTGTTTCTATGGAATTGAAGATACTTACTCACAGATTTACAGATCTACCCATAGTATGGATGGTAGAACTGATCGTCGAGGCAGGGGAAGATTCAAGTCTCAAGATGTTGATGGATGGCACAAGAAACCTCCATTTACAGATTTGTCAAACATAAAATCCAACACACATTCTGAAAATCCTTCTGATGCAAATGTGGAAAACTATACGTCTTTAGAGGCTTCAGAGAAGTCTGGATCATATGTCCAAGCAAGAGATGAGGGAGAGTCCATGCCACATGTACTTGATCCAAGTGATAGTCAATCACAGGTAATTTTCTTTATATTATATGCCTGGTTGATTTGTAGACCTGAAATTTGATGTACAATGTATTTGTTTCTTCAGCATGCCATGATGAGGGAACTTGCAAAGCAGCGTGTCAAACAACGACAAAAAGAGGAGGAAGAGTGGGCTAGAGACCAGAAGGCTAAGGCTAATGCTAAATTGGAAGTGTTGAACAGACGTACACAAGCAGCTGAAGGTTTAACTCAGAAGTTGGAATCTGTTCCAGATAGTGCTGTCCATAATAAAGAAGAATCCCAAACTCTCGCAGGAGAAACTATCATCTCTATCAGATCTGAAGTAACAAGCTTGATTTCTAGCCCCACTGTAGTTGCAGGTGCTCTACAAAGCACCACTGGGGAACTTGAAAATCCCACTCTTTTGTCCATTCAACAACCTTTGGTGTCAATAAAGAATGTCCATAAGGCAACTGCAGATACACATAACCATTTTTTGCCCTTGGAACAGAGAGTTAATAATGCTGATGCTGCTCTCCATAATCACCCACAGGTTAGCGATGGTAGCACTTCAAAGCAGAAGCATGTAGGCTATAAAAAAAAGGATTATAACTCATTGGATAAGAGTTCCAGTGAGAAGTATATTTCTGCAAGTACAACTGAATTGCCAAATATTCATACTGATTTAGCAGTTGATGTGGCTCCATCTGCTGAGGCTGTTATAAATGAGATTGCCTCAATCTCTGAGTCTATTTCTACACAAAATGTTGTGAATGAGCCCTTAATGCAACAGAAAAGGAAAAATAACAGGAGTGGCAAGAACAAGCACAAAGTGGAGAAGGCATCATATATGCCTCCTTTACCATCTGGGATTTCAAAAGAAGCAAATCTTACTAGTTCTTCTGTTGAGGGTTTGAAGCCAAAGTCATCTGAATCTGAGCTGGATCCTAGCTCATTTCAGTCTCTGACTGGTTCAAAGGATGGAAATCGGTCTTCAGAGCAGGAATCAGCTTTTCCTAATGAAGAAGCCTACAGCCGAGCGAATAACCAGAAATTTCAGCATTCTCTAAGGATGCCACGAAATCCACAAGTTCATAGATCTGCAATCCATGGTGGTGATGCTGTCATCTGGGCACCTGTTCAGTCACATAACAAATCTGAGGTTACTGAGGAGGCCAGCCATAAGTCCATAGTTGAGGCTGTTGCTCCACAGGCAAAGGATGATGCTCAAGTGCAGTATAATACAAGAAACAAGAGGGCAGAGATGGAGAGGTACATCCCAAAGCCTGTTGCAAAAGAAATGGCTCAGCAAGTAATTAGTCAACAACCAGTAGCTCCTTCAGACAATCAGACTGTAGCAGATGAGATAATGGGAAGAGCAGATTCTGGGTCTCATGGAGTTGAATGTTCTCAACCTGCGGGCACAGCCATGGGGAAGGTAGGAAACACTACAGAGTCGAGGAATGATGGTAGGCAGAGTAGGCAGGGAAGAGGACATCAATCTTGGCACCAATGGACCTCAGCTGAAGCAACTTTGCAAGGCTATCAAGATGGACATTATTCCAACCCAAATAAAAATGCTCAGAAATCAGCAGAGCAGAACCAACAGCAGAAGCCTGATTTGAACCTAGTGAAAGAGCGGCCCAAGTATGATGAATGGAACACTTCTGATGGTTCGAACATTCCGGAAAATCCTGATTCTGTTGTACCACCAGTAGTTCCTGTTATAAGAGATCATGGAATGACAGGCAGAGGAAAGTGGCATGCATTCAAGGGACACAAAAGTGGGAGAAACAATTATGATTTTGATCCCAAGAAAATTAATATCGGTGAAGCTGATAAACTTGACCCAAAATCTTCGGTCACTGAGATGGTTCAGTCTGATTCACCTGCTGCTTCAGAAGAAAATCATGGTGCTGGGGATCGAACAACATCTCATTGGCAACCCAAATCTTCAGCCATCCATCAAAGAGGAAGCAGGCCTGATAGTGATCAAAATGTTGCGGCTGAAATTGGTAGGACAAACAAAAAAAATTCTACTCAGTTTAGGGTGTCACATCCCTCTCAACGAGAAAGAGAAACCAGTGAAAGTATGACTCAACGTCTTAAAGATCAATATATCTCTGATAAAAGAAGCGTTGAAGAAACACATAATGTTGGGTATCATGACTCCAAGAGGGAAAGGAAGGTAGCTTCACTTAAAGGATGCCCACACTACCCAAACCAAGGTCCTGGTCTTCCGGTCGAAGATCCTCCATCGCATGTGGATACTAGAAATGAACAGTGCTCAATGGCAGGGTTTCATAAAAATGGAAACCAAAATAACCGATTTGGCAGAGGGCATGAATTTCGTGGTGATTGGAGCTCATCTGGTCAAGAAATTAAGCAGCACAACCCACCTGCAAACTGTCAAAGGCAGAGGCAGAATTCACATTATGAGTACCATCCAGTTGGACCCCAAAATAATAGAGCAAATAATCTCGAAGGACCAAAAGATGGTTCTCATGGTACCGGTGCAAGGTTCAGTGAGAGGGGTGAGAGTCACTCAAGGCGTGGTGCAGGAAACTTCCACGGACAGCAAAGTGGCAGTTTTAGAGTAGATGGTGCTTATGATGAGTAAGGAAGGGATTCAGAATTGGTTATTTATTTGGTAAAAAGCCGCCCTGCCATGAACAAAACTCGTTTGATCCCAAATATTTTTAGATATTCATGAGTAGGCAGCATTTTTCAGTTGTAAATACTATTAAATCATCTATGAACAGACGGTGTATATGTGAATAGGGTCAGGAGAAAAGCAGCTGGTGCCTAGGCAAAACATAATAGCTGTTGATCAGAGGTACACAAATGCGGTTTATGTCATTTTGTATTTTCCAGTGTAATTTGGTCACAGTTTGTGTTCTGTAGGACCCTGGGCACATTTGTTTGAGCCTTCTATTTGGAATGAAGTAGTCAACAAGTTTTGTCTCCCTCTTCATTTTGATCTATATCATCTATCTTGACATGTAAACTCCAAAAGTACTTATAGTAATTGACTTAATATGAATTTTTAAATTAATAAATTTAATCTTAAATTATAACTTTTATTAATTTATTTAAGTTTAATTTAAATCAATTAAAATTAAAAGTAAATTTTATTTAAAATTAAAAGTAAATTTTATGTGAAATTAAATTATTTAAAAATTAAAAATTTTTAATTCCAAAAATATTAAAAATAATTGATTAAAATACATTTAGTAACTTTTTTTTTATAAATTTTAATTTAAATGATTTTTTTATTATTAGATTTTTTATAAATAGATTAAAAAATTGTTAAAAGTGTTTAATTAAAATACCTTTAATAAATTTTAATTTAAAAATATTAAAAATAATTTATAAAATATCATCAATAATTTTTTTTTAATTTTAATTTAAATAGAAAAGACGCATTTAAAATTAATATCATTTAGTAATTTTAGTTAAGTAAAGCTTAGTATGTTTTCATGATCAATTCAATTACACTTTGGTTGTTTCATACCATTACATTATTCGACTTTGTTATTCATGCTTCTGTTTTCATATCTTGTCATTGAAAGTTCAATTTATTTCATTTCTTTACAAAGTTTCCATAGGGTTTATAAATGGTAATTTCGTTTTCTCTAATTTCCATCAATCACTTGTTTACATAGTCTAAATATAAATCAAGATGATTGACTTTCTCTTCCTTTCTCATGTAACTAAAGGGAATTAAGTATCAATATATAGAGTTAAAGTAGTGGAATTTTAAAAATTTTTAATTTTATAAAGTTAAGATTAACCAACAAGATCATACAAACATAATATATATAAACTATATGGGTTTTGGCTATAGTATATACCTAGTGTGCCGAAATTCTTTTTGTTCGATATGGTTCCAAATAGTTTCTCAAGCCTAAAAGCTAACCAAGTATGTAGGTAATCCACATGAACTATTGTGAAAGAACCTTTTCTATGGTAGCGAAGAACACACATCACAATCTAGCTAGTGAGTGCTTCCAAAGCCTTTTATTTTTCTCTCATGTTTTTGTTTAAAGTTGCTCTTAGCTTATTTTGAACCTAATATGCCTTGTATCTTATAAAAAAGGTGGAGGCTTAATGTTCATTTTATAAAGGGATATTTGGTTTAATGCAAGACATGTATATTTTCATAAATATCCCATGCTTGACCAAATAGTATTAAAAAGGAAAGTTTGTCTCTTTTGTTTTATTTTCTCTATCTTTTGATCATACCAAAAGCAAATGAAGTCCAACTTAATTTTTCACAATTTTAATCTTTTACAATTGTCCTATTATATGTGACTCATTAGGTTTTTTAGCATGTTGGTAATAAACAAAAGCATTGTGAGCCTTAGTATTCAGCTATGGATGCAACAAACTTTTTGACTTCATTACTAATTCTCTAATTAGCCAATCTTATGTTTGTAGATCATGATAGTGCTAGCTTCATTGCCATTATCCCCAATTGCTAAAGAAAAGCCAATATAGCTTGACAACCTATCCACGAATGATTTTAATTTATAATTAAATATCATTTCATCACTAAGTATCTTGGTTTGAACATTGAGTATGATTTAGTGTCTACTCAATATTGTTCAACCATGTTAAGTCTTATCCTTGATATTAACTCACAAATAAGCTTTAGAACAATTATAAACTTTTATTTCACTCAAGTTAATTAAATCAAGACTAGTTGAGATACTTTCTTGATCACACAAGTTAATGAATCCCATTTTGATTACTTCATGCATTTTTATATGCCTCATGTTATACGCAACAATATTTAACTGGACATTCTTGGTTAGAATCATAAGTAAAGTCAAAGTATAATATTCATCATATAAGATCATAAGTAATCTCAAGTCAAAGGATCACTTATACAACCATCACATGAGAATGTAGCTATAGACACTATGTGAACTACCACATAGCATTCTCATCTCGGGTAATGTTCAGTGAACTTGTTCTTGTAACAAACACTCACATGTTAGCTTAAGCTTACCCAAATTTCAACCTATGAGATCGATTGCTTGCTTCATAAGCGAGAGTATAACCATGTGTTGGTTTTAATAGCTTTTATCAATGTTCTATCTTGACAAAGCATCGACTAGGAACAATGAATAATGCTTTAATGCAATGATGATTTCATAATTACAATCTTACTGTAATTCCCTTGCAAAACATATTTATTCTAATGACTTTATCTATAAGAAGTAATACTAATTATGTGTATACAATCTCATAGATAAATAATGCCTTTGATAATAATAAAAATGCATACTATGACATGTACCCATAGCCAATTTGATTGGTCTTAGGGCATATTACCAACAATCTCTTACTGGCACTAATACTAATCTCTTTGGTATCAAATACCGAACACTTTTATGTGGCAATCATGGGATAGTGGTATAGTGAAAGGATGTGCTAGATTTAACCTTTGTTGAAATTTGTCATACTTTTGTACCATTTCTCTTGATTATCTTTATAATCAAATAGTAATGCCTCAATATATATTTGGATCTCTTTTAAGACCTTGATTCCTATTGCTTATGCAATGGCTCCATTGTTCTCAACAATGCTTGGAATTATAGAGTTCAACTTTTAAACTTTCTTAATCCAAAATTCTTCTTTTGTTGCCTCAAAGAAAGAATTATTTTCGGCATGAGTTTATAGAATTAATGGTCATATTATGTTTGAAACTCTTTCAAACTAATTTTTTCATCATAGTAAAACATGATCATTTTGTAACTTGTTATTATCCTTGTCAAATGATAGCAAAAATGTGAAGCAACCATCTATATGGTTTTTAGCTTTTCCTTATACTAAAACATTTAGTATAGTAAATAGCATTCGAATATGACAAATACAATTTTAGTTATTGTATTCTATCGATGTTATTTCTCTTTTTTCTTGTGTCTTGTGACATTTGCCTTTGGAGAGATTCATGTAATACAACATAGATAAGTGTTTTTTTGCTAAACTCTTTTAGCATCTTATTAATGTGTATGCTATGTAACATAGGCAAAGATCTACTCTTAGATTCCATTATGTTAAACTCTTTTAACATCTTGACTATGTTTATAGATTAGGATAGGTATACAACCTTTTGGATCTATCTTTATAAATCTTTATCCCATTATGTGCATTACCTCTCTTGTATCCAAATATGAAAATATTTTTGGATAGCTAAATCTACTATAAATTGTAGCATAGGTACTTGGTTTCCAACGAGCTATATGTCATCCACATAAAGCTTTATCAAAACGATTATACTCCCATTAACTTATTGTGCACACAAGGTTTATCCTAATCTTTGATGATATCAAACTCTTTTGATTATCTCATAAAACCGAATGTTTCATCTTTTTTTGTAATCTCATCATTTATGAGAAATATATCTTTGTCTGTAAGAAACGTATATTTCTTTGAAGATTAATGTATCCTACTTGTCTTTTAAAGTTTGTGTACTTTTAACTTTTAATAGTGCACTCAATGCCTTAGTCTTTAGCTTATTTTCCATTGAAATGCTTGTTTTGTGTTCCTGAACTATTTAAGTTCAACTCTACTCCTATTGCCCTTTTTTAAAATGTACAATTTCTTTTAGAAAATGGCATGCAATGAAACAAACACCTTCGTTTATTGGAATTATAAAATTAATATCCAACCTTTTAGGTATCCACAAACTTACATTTATCCAACCAAGCTCCAAGCTTGTTAGATTATGCATACTTCATGTAAGTCACGCATTTTTCAAATCTTTTAATCATGACATGTGGGGCATCTTGTCATTTCATATCTCATATGTTATCTTGTTAATGGATTTCAATGGAACCTTTAATTAGTAGGTAAGTGGTAGTTTCTAGGGTATATCCCTAAAGGAAGTAGAAAGATTATATATCAAGGATCGAATCATGTCCCACAAGGTTCAGTTTCTCCACTTGAAATTGTTATCTTTGATCGTAGAGTTTCTAATGGGGACTATTTGAGAGAATGCAATTCTATTTTAGATAACTCAAAGTTCTTGGCTTAAGCTCTCCACCTTGATCGAATCTTGGTGTTAAAATACTTTGCTAATTCGATTTTCAATCTTACTTCTAAATTCTTTGAACATTTATATTCACTATACAAAAAACATCTGAATGTATAAGTCCAAGGAGCATACTAGTTCTATCTCTTTTCCAAGTGAAAGGTGATTTTGATCATTTTCAAAGCAAACATGATTCACAAGTTTCATAAAATTCATAATAATAAGAATCAATATATCCTTGATTAGATAACTTTATGATTATTATTTCCTTGATATAACCAAACCTTCAATGCCATATATAAGATTGATTTGGTTTATCTAGTTTAGGTTTTTTTTTTTTTTTTTTTTTTTTGCATTTATATTGAGAATTTTGATTTTATAATTTCCTTTAGTTCCTCAAATTTGTTATACAAATGAGAACTTCATTTAGTAGCTAATCCTAATAAATGAAAAGTTTTCTCAATCATAAATTATGCTTGAAGTAACAACTTCACTAAGTTTCTTCTTGTTCAAGCTTTACCAAGTAAAATTCTCAATTTTATCTTCCAACAGCCTATTTTGTCATCATATGACAAGTGTCCTTGTCTTTGTCTTTTCTTTATTTGACCTTTTGGCTTAGCAACTTATGGTACTTTCTTTCTTTATTTTTTTTTCTTCTTAAAGAACCATTCTTAATCTTAGAAGATGAAACAAGAATAAAAGTACCCTTTTGGTGTTACTTTAGAAACTTGCAACTCATGATAGCTAATATCATATATGTGGTTTTATTAATATCATCTCTATGATTTTGATAGATTTTTAGTCTCTTAATATCCTTAATAGGGATAAGTAGATTCGAACAAACAAGTTTCTTTCTTGCTTGAGAGCTATTCTTAAGTTTTAGTCTCAATCCAAAAAGTTTTGGCCAAGTTGACATCATATATGCCACAAAATGACAAGTTATTATTCTATGTTCT